GGAGGGGCTAAAGGAGGAAGGATCTAAAAGGGGCGGGGCTAAAGCATGTAAATTACAACTGGTGGGGCTAAAGTGGGAGGGGCTAAAGAGGGTGGGGTCGAACGGGAGGGGCTAAAGGAGGAAAAGCCTAAAAGGGGCGGGGCTAAAACATGTAAATTATAAGGGGAGGGGCTAAAGGAGGAAGGATCTAAAAGGGGCGGGGCTAAAGCATGTAAATTATAAGGGGTGGGGCTAAAAATGGGTGGGGCTAAAGTGGGTGGGGTCAAAGGGGAGGGGCTGAAGTAGGAAGGCCCTAAAAGGGGTGGAGCTAAAATATGTAAATTATAAGGGGCGGGGCTAAAATGGGTGGGGCTAAAGGGGCGGGGCTAAGGGGGAGGGGCTAAAATATTTAAAACTAAAGGGGGAGGGGCTAAAAGGGGTGGGGCTAAAGTGGGTGGGGTCAAAGGGGAGGGGCTGAAGAGGGTGGGGTCAAAGGGGAAGGGCTAAAGTAGGAAGGACCTAAAAGGGGCGGAGCTAAAACATGTAAATTATAAGGGGCGGGGCTAAAAGGAGTGGGGCTAAAGGGGCGGGGTTAAAACATGTAAATTACAACTGGTGGGGCTAAAGTGGGAGGAGCTAAAGAGGGTGGGGTCAAAGGGGAGGGGCTAAAGGAGGAAAAGCCTAAAAGGGGCGGGGCTAAAACATGTAAATTATAAGGGGCGGGGCTAAAAATGGGTGGGGCTACAGTGGGTGGGGTCAAAGGGGAGGGCCAAAAAGGGGCGGGACCAAAACATGTAAATGGGAAGGGGCGGGGCTAAAGGAGGAAAAGCCTAAAAGGGGTGGGGCTAAAACATGTAAATTATAAGGGGCGGGGCTAAAAGGGGTGGGGCTAAAGGGGAGGGGCTAAAACATGTAAAACTAAAGGGGTGGGGCTAAAATGGGTGGGGCTAAAAAGGCGGGGCTAAAATGGGCGGGGCCAAACCGCAGCTGGCTCCGAAGCGCGGGGTGTTGATTAGGGAGCTAATTAGCATCTGATTAGCGTAACGGCGGCTAATTGCCCCCAGGGCTCGCGGCGGAGGCGGCGCAAGGAGGGGCG